AAGCCCCTTAAAAAATTAAGGCGAAGGGAATTTTTTTACCAAACGCCACTGTAGCGTACTTTCTTAACTGCTTTATAGGACAAAAAACTGTTTTCTTAACGGTTTCCAGTCGTATCCTACTGATGATCAAATAAATGGCACGTCTAAATCAAAACAAAGTGTTAACAGTGTTTTGATTTACAGGTTAATTTGCATGTCATGAAAACATTTTTACAGAAAATCAGAGATGGCCTTTTTCAAGATTTAGTTTTTTCATTACTCTAGAGGTTGGTGATGCTCTGGTGCTCACCAAAAGGATCGCAGGCAACGAGATAATTTTGACGCAATCTCGTACCCAGAGTCTTCTGGCCGAGTTTTTGTCAGCGGCGCTGACCAAAAAACCAGAAGATTGATTTTGACACAATTTTTATTCCCAACATGCAAAGAAATAATTTTGTAAAGTTTGAAAATAGACAGCTTTCTGTTATCGTTATCTCCATCTTAATCATAACTATAACAAAATTGTCAAATCTGATTGGCTATCAACTGCCCTGATTTCAGCCTTAATTGGACAGTTCAATAGGACAGTACGCGTCATGCCTAAGTAATTGGACAGTACGGGCCATCACGCGCGCGCTTAAATGGCTTTTTTTTCACTGCTAGCAAAACAAAATTTCGAATTTCTTGTGTTTTGATTTAAAAAATAGCCTATTATGTTACAAATTTTGTTAAAGTTATGATTAATTGGTAACAGAACTTCGTGTCGTCCAATTCGGTCTGTAATTATACTCGTGATTAAACAAATCGGACTCCCGCTACGCGGTCGTCCGATTCTGTTAATCACTCGTATGATTACAGACCGAATTGGACTCCACTCAGTCCTGTTACCATTACTAATCGACTATTCTTAAATTTTTTTTAAAGTTTTATTATCAGATTTTTCTATAGCTAAAATTGCGGCTTTTTTGTAAATAGCTATATTGTGGGGGTGGGTTTTGTTTTAATTTGTATTTTTGCGTTTTAGAGGGCCACCAGTTTGTCAGTAATTTTTTGTTACATTTATGAGTTACCCTCTCAAAATAAAAGTCTTCGCTACCTACTTACCTACCTACCTACCCAACTACCCACCTACCTACCTACCTACCTTGATGCTAATGCCATAATAAACCCTTTTTTATATAAGAATATATTTTAGAGGAATATCAAATCTGAAATTTGCGAAATTTTAAGAATATCTAAGAATAAACCCCGGGCTGAGACTCTGAAAATGATATAATTTTTGTGGTGAAAATCTATAAATGCAATACAATAATATGTTTTTAACTTACTCCTTTCTCTAAACAGCAAAACCAGCCAACAAAACGAAAAAAACTGCACTAACTATTATTGATACCCCAATGTATTCTTATATCTAAAACATGTCATCAGCTATAAACTTAAGAATAATACAAGAATATTTTCAGCCGGAAATCAGTAGAAAATAAAAATATTCAGCCCGGGCCGGGAAAACAACATTCCGTATACGTATAAAAAAAAGAGTGTAACTTCTTTTTTCCCCGTTTAATTTCAGCCGGAGTAGATTAAATTAAATAGACCGTCATTCACTCAAGGGGACACAACATGAAGTTGGAAATGTAAGTATCTATGAGTGTCTCATACAGTTATTTTGACTAAAAAAGTCCAATGCGTGAACCCCAAGATAGGGTATAGTTATTAGTCTCTCTTGCTTTATAGGCGAGACTCTAAAAATGCAAGCGTTTCTTTGCTCTTTTTTTTTTTTTTTTTTTTTTGTGTGCGCGCCATAAGGAGGTCATGCTCCCTGGCGTTGCTAGCAGAGACCGTGGAAGCTGGGGCTAACAATCACGACGTGTCGGACTTAATTGAATGCAATGAGTCTTGTGATGAGCATGCGTGGTTTATTTTCGGTGATTATTGAAATGACGCGCCATGTTCATCACGTTTTTGCTTTCTGGCAATGACGGAAATTTCTCTCTAATCGAGGCGCTTGACTTTCGTGTATGTATACGCGCGTACTCAATCAATTCAGAAACAAGTCGTCGAATATATGCGATATAAAAAGTATCCTAAGTTATGAAAGTAAATCCACGACTACCAAGGTAACGTGTACAGAGTGAGGATAATAGCACTATATGATGACATGACATTAGTCGTAAAGACATCAAGGTACCTGGAGAATTTCTGACATAAAATCCCTACAGAAATTTATTTAAGGCGATATCATATCACGACATCTACTGAAGAGTCCGATGACAAGGTATATCAGAGCACCTAAATTTTCAAACCAGTTTTTCTGAGCAAACCTGTCATTCGATACTGTCTGACTGTCTGAAGCCCTTTGTTCCTGGCCTGAGAGAGTTTGTTTATTAAAAATCATAAACCTTTCTAGGTCTGTCGGATCAAAGAAGGCAAAAAGCTCAAAAATTTATTAATCAGTTTATTTTGTGCTTTGCGAATACTTTAAATTTTTACGAATAATTAGCAGGAGAACCGAGAAAGGGAAAAGAAAGAAATTTATGATATTTCTGGAAGTTAAGATTGATCGAAAAAATCTCTGGCATTTGTTTTTGTTGCTTCTACATCAGTGACACCACACAGCATTACCCTCACCGTTCGTCAAAACCTGGTTTTTTTTTATCTTCTCTGCGGCATCAAAGGAGAACAATACAAAACCTCAGAGCGGGACTCCCCTGAGATTCCCTGAAAAGGGAATTAGATTTTGTTCATTTTGTGCTAACATCATGTGTGAATTTTTAAGACGGACCTACAAAAGCCAGGCATCCAATAATAAAGGATTAAATTAACTGCAAAAACCGTGTACGAAAATTCTGCTAGTTGTAAACGTTGGATCTTTAGAAAAGAGATCTAATCAACCAAAATATAAAAAACCAAAAACGAGAAGTCCAAAGACTACTGCAAAGCTGATTCAGAACAACGTGTATTGTTTTTTCATAAAAATATTTCCGCTGGCCATACCAGCCTTCTTCAGCCAGTTTGCAGATGTTACTAAACTTATGTAGGAATCACGGTATTATGTCAATAAATTAAATTAAATTATGAATTATATAATATTGTGATTCCTACATAAGTTCAGTAACATTTGTAAACCTGAAGAAGGCTGGTATTGCCAGCCCAAACATTGTTATGAAAAAACAATACACGTTGTTCTGAATCAGCTTTGCAGTAGTCTTTGGACTTCTCGTTTTTAGCCATCCAATAGCCTGTGTACAGCTGCCCCCTCCTCTCAGAAAAAAATCGAAGAAGGGGCCCCTTCACCGATTTTTTTTCTGAGGGAAGGTGGCGGCTGTACACAGGCTAGCTGCCCGCTAGCATCTAACACGTTAGTCTTTTTTATTGCTTTATCTTTGCAAAAGAGAGGAACAATATCAGCCTAGTCCCCAGGCGTTCTCTGTTCCGTCAAACATGGACCCTAGGTGACGTCACTGAAAGTGATTAGCACAGACACTTTCCCAGAATTTGTTCGGACAACGACGCAAGATAGAATGCCAGGGAACTAGGCTGGGGCGGAATTACTGAGCATTAGATCCCATCGGCCTGAACCCCTTGGACACCATATGAATTTTACACAACGTAGTATTCTTTATTGCTTTCACACTACACTTAGATTAAATTTCTAAGTCTCGTGAAATTTCTGCTCAGCAAATGTTCTTGAAAGTGTAAGTCTCTTCAACTTTTAAGGAAGAAAAAGAACACAAGAGCGTGTGCAAATATCGAATTCCGGAAGGTGGTGACCGTAGTTCATTACCTATGCCACTACGCCACTGAGGATTGGCTGGCGAGAGTTGGCTTGATTTGAAGCTATCTAGCAACAACCCTAACCCTAAATAGAAGCTAACCATTTCGAGACAGTGCTTAACCCTAAACAATATTTTCAGTGCTTAACCCTAATCAGTAGTATCACGTGCTTTTATGGCGAGCGGACGGGTATTTTTCACTGGGTGAGCTCCGTTATATGTAAGGTCTTTTCTTATTGCATTTCTTCGATTGCATTTTTGTCTTAGTTTAAACATTTACAGAGTCCTATCGCATTTTTAGCCTAACTATGATTAATACGATTACCTAATAATTTTAAGATTTGCTGTAGTTCTGTCATTGATTTTTGCATGTGTAATTGTGATGATAGTTTGTATAAATAAAATAACTGAGGGAGCCCATTCCTTATAAGCCCGGTGGCTTCCCTTTGGCTTCCTCGCCGTTAGCGTTTTAAATAATTAGATTTTCTTGCTCTTGTACAACTTATGGCAAAACAATAAACTAAAAGTGAACTTGAAACAGTATAGACCTTTGTCACGCGGCGGCCATTTTGTCTCAGGAGATTTAGAAAGCCTTGTTTATGCTAGCCTGCGAACGGCAGACGTTTCTCATCGCTCAACGCCGCTGCGGGACTTCTCGCGAGGAGGAATGTCTGCGACTCAGCGACAGAAATTCCATACTGATGACGTAACTCAATGTTTACTTAACAAATCCGATAGTCACGGGGTTCCAAATGCAAATTTGTTCAATTTTACGTTTCTCCTGATCGATTTTGGAAAAGTGTTGCTCTCATCTGCGAATGAGCTCCAGCAAAACTCAAATGCTTCTTGTAGAGAAGACTATAATCCACAAATATGGACTGTTTTGTTAGAGATTCATCGCGTTTACATTTGATCTTTGCCGCCTTTTGTCTGTTGTCTGTCACTCGTAAACAATAGCTAGAACAATGAAACTACTCCGTCGACCAATTAGCGCTTCTGACCGGATCCCGGACAGATTTTGCGTCATCAGTATGGAATTTCTGTCGCTGAGTCGCAGACGTTCCTCCTCGCGAAACGGTCCTCAGCGGCGATGAGCGAGGAGAAACGTCTGCCGTTCGCAGGCTATGGTTATGCATGGCTAGCCTCGTTCTCTCTACAATGCTAGCCGTGCATAAACAAAGCTTTTTAAATCTCCTGAGACAAAATGGCCGCAGCGTGACAAAGGTCCATTGCTTAACCCTCCTCGTTATGTTGTTTTTTCGGCTTTATTCTCTTAGAGAGCTTGATGTGCACAACGAAGACGAAGTTCTGCTAACAAGTCTTCTTCTCGTCTCCCAATATCTTCGCAACACAAATCGGGTTCCAAACGCTATCGAGATGTGTAAGGAGGTTTTGTTTCTTCTCGAGCATAAGACACTAGGAAATATAGACCAAACGTGTGTCAAACGTTTTGAGAATGTTCACAGTCACCCAATAAAACGAGGCACAAAACGTCTCTTCACTTTTCGACAAGTTTTTGCGAGAAAAGTGGAACTAAGGACAACCTGTACACTGGCAGAATTATACCAAAGTCAACGTAAATACAGTGAGGCAGAAGGCCTTTACTTAAAAGCAATACACATCGCAGAGAAAATTGGCAACGGGAAAATAGTAGCCACAAGCTATGGAAACCTAGGATTTATGTTTCTTTGTCTTGGTGAACATGTCAAGGCTAAAGAATATTGCGAAAAAGCAATAGCAATCGCAGCGAAAATTGGCGACGGGAAAATAGAAGCCAAAAGCTATGAAAAACTTGGAGGTATCTTTACTTCACTTGGTGAATATGTCAAGGCTAAAGAACATTGGGAAAAAGCGCTTGCAATCGGAGAGAAAATTGGCAACGGGAAAATAGTAGCCAGAAGCTATGGAAACCTAGCAGTTATGTTTCTTTTTCTTGGTGAACATGTCAAGGCTAAAGAACATTGCGAAAAAGCACTAGCAATCGCAGAGAAAACTGGCGACAGGAAAATAGAAGCCACAATCTATGGAAACCTAGGAGGTATCTTTAATAATTCATTTAATGAACATGTCAAGGCTAAAGAACATTACGAAAAAGCAATTACAATCGCAAAGGAAATTGGCGACAGGAAAACAGAAGCCGTAAACTATCAAAACCTAGGACGCACCTTTAATAATCTTGGTGAATATGTCAAGGCTAAAGAACATTGCGAAAAAGCACTAGCAATCGCAGAGGAAACTCGCGACAGGACAATAGAAGCCACAAGCTATCAAGGCCTAGGAAGTATCTTTAATTCTCTTGGTGAACATGTCAAGGCTAAAGAACATTGCGAAAAAGCACTAGCAATCGCAGAGCAAATTGGCGACCAGAAAACAGAAGCCACAAGCTATGACAAACTTGGAGGTATCTTTACTTCACTTGATGATTATGTCAAGGCTAAAGAACACTGCAAAAAAGCAATTGCAATCGCAGAGAAAACAGGCGACAGGGAAACAGAAGCCAGAAGCTATCGAAACCTAGGAAACATCTTTTATTCTCTCGGTGAATATGTCAAGGCTAAAGAACATTTCGAAAAAGCACTTGAAATCGCAGAGAAAATTGGCGTGGGGCGAATAGAAGCCCTTTGCCATGGAAGCTTGGGATTTATCTTTTTCTCTCTCGGTGAATATGCCAAGGCTAAAGAATGCCTCGAAAAAAACTTGGTATTGAAAAGAAAGTATGGGGATAGCGAAGACGAGTCAATTTGTCGCTTACTTCTCTCACATCTTATGTTAAAAGAAGGCAACATATCTGAAAGTAAATCAAACGCCTTTGTCAGTTTTAATAAGGTAGAAGATATTCGACGTCTCCAAGTACATGATAAATTCAAGATATTGTATTTTGAAAAAATGTTTAATAATTACCGAAAATTCAGTCAATTGCTTTGTGATGCTGACTTTCCTCATGAAGCTCTTTACACGGAAGAATTTAGACGAGCGAGGGCCCTTAAAGACTTAATGGCAGCTCGGTACTCTGTAGAAAACGAAATACCAGTCAGTCCACAAACATGGGATTATATTGAAAGTATCGTCAAGAAAGAATGCAACTGTGCTTGTCTTTACATGTCATACCACGAACAATCGTTTAATTTTTGGGTTGTTAAAGCAGACAACCCTTTAATTTTCCAGCAAATAAAAGTAAATGCTGTTTTTGGATCAGTAATCAGAGTGGCTGACTTACTTTGTCGCGAAATTTACAGAGAGGTTCTTTGCTTAGCTCCTGAACAGTGCGAGGATCGATCCTGGCTTCCCTCAAACGCTTACTGGGAGCAGGGGTGTGAACGCCTGATGTTAGAAGATGAGAACGAGCCACCCGAGCGTACTCCTGCTTGTGTCTACAAAATGATCATTGCTCCTGTAGCCGACTATCTTGATGAGCCTGAAATCATCATTCTTCCTGATCGCGACCTTTACAAAGTTCCATTTGCAGCGCTAGAAGACGAAAGTGGAAAGTGTCTATCAGAGTCTTTCAGGATCCGTATCGTTCCCTCTTTGACGACTCTAAAGCTTATTCAGGACAGTCCAGCAGACTATCACAGTCAGAGTGGTGTGCTGATAGTGGGGGACCCTGCTGTTGGTGAAGTGTTGTACAAGGAAATTCTTCAGCGGGTAAAGAGACTGCCTTTTGCAAATAAAGAAGCAGAGATGATTGGAAAACTGTTCGGTACTCAACCTCTGCTAGGAAAACAAGCCACAAAGGAGGCGGTCCTTCAAAAAATTCATTCTGTGTCTCTGATACATTTTGCTTGTCACGGTAATGCCGAAAGAGGTGAAATTATTCTTGCCCCTCCACCCGTCACTGATGGGACACCTCAAGAAGAAGACTACTTATTGACTATGGAGGACATTTCGAAAGTTAAACTGCGAGCCAAACTGGTGGTCCTTAGCTGCTGTCACAGTGCAAAAGGACAAATCAGTGCCGAGGGAGTTGTTGGAATTGCTCGTGCGTTTTTAGGGTCTGGTGCACGCTCAGTGTTGGCGGCACTGTGGGCCATAGATGACGAAGCAACAGAACATTTCATGACTCATTTCTACGAGAACCTTGTTCATGGGGAAAGCGCCAGTGAATCCCTTCAACAGGCCATGAAGTGGATGAGAGAAAACGGTTTCTCCAAGATTTCGCAGTGGGCGCCATTTATGCTTATTGGAGACAACGTCAAGTTGGATATTCACAAGTTAAGGTCATCGAAAGGACACTAGAAGTTCATGAACAAAACGATGGTCCTTTTCCCCAACTCCCTTGTGTTTGTCCTTAAAAGTACATGATTAACTTTGCGTTTTTGTTAATGAAATAATAAACATAATGCCGATTTTTTTCAGTACAACAGTGGAGATGTCATATATATAAGATTTAAACTGAGTCTCTGATACCTAAATACAATAAGATAAGCATTTAAGATGGACAACTCCGTTTTTGTTTATGAAAAAACTCGCATATAGTTGTCACTTATAATAACTTTTCAACTCAAGGTTCATTTGAGATTATTTGTTACTTATATTTATAACTAATTCTTTTCAGTTTTTTCTTGTTAGGAGAAAGAATTTATTAGCTGTTGCTCGAAGAATATTCACTTGTAAATAACAGGACAGTTGTGTCTTACAATACACATGCTTGTGTCCCAGCTAGATGAGATGTAGTTTAAGCAGTTGCACGACTTGTACGAGTCGTAACCGATTTGAAAAAACGTGGTTTCCAATCGCGCTGGATGAGATAAGAACTGGGCGGATTTTAAGAGAAAGGCGGACTGCAAGCAGTCTAAAGATAAATCGAGAACCCACACTAAGATCTGCACGTACTTTATTCCACCTTCTATTCCACTGTTTGTACAACTCGTCAAACATGCACGATGGTTAGTAAATCATAGTTATTAAAGTGGGATGGTTTATATGAAACCCGCTAGACTCCTTTGCTATATGTTTTTGTAAGCTTTTTTGGACCTGACGGGGCACAACGTTCAATAGCATTCCTATCATTTCAGAGACATCGCATTAATTTATTCAGTCACAATTTGCGAACAAAAAACAAAGGATTGTGCACGGTGAGGGAGATTCCAATTTTCAACTTTCATGTTTACCGGATTTCATAACCAGTCTACTCTAACTATGGTTGAATTTTCTGAGCAAAGGGAGACAATAAATTTACAATTAATTCAACGACGAAGTCAACGTCCAAAAAACAAATTTTTTTACAGGAAAACTCACCGACTGTTTGTTATGTTAATCGAGATGGTTCAGGTTTCACAAGAAAACGATAAAAAGTCCTTATTTGCAGGGTATTAGCTTTCTGACACAGTTCTAGACCTAAGTGAAAATATGGTACCGACTCCGAAAGATCTCTGTGGTGACCGAGAACTGCCAACCGAAAAATCCGAATTTTGGGAGTTTAGTTTTACAGTTTATCTTTGATTATTTTTCCTTTTGTGCTTTTGTATTTTTCTTTTTAATTTTGAATTAAAAGACAAGTGAAGGTATAATCAAGTGAAAGCCAAATAAACACGAAATGAGACCAAAGGAAATTGAAATGAAATCAAAACAAAATCAAATCAAATCAAAATTAATTTTTGACCCAGCCGAGCGCTGCCACTACCAGGCGGCATGCATTGCTGAACTATCACATGTACGTGTAATCATCATGACAGGCGAGTGGGAAAAGTTAAATAAAAAAGTAAGGCCAAAGAGGAACAAGAAAGATCCTCCTTTTAAGGTCTTAAAAAATCATCGACGCTCGCAATCACAGCAGCAATTTACTGGCTGTATCCAAGCAGCCATAGAAATGGAAGGGCGCTTTCCATTCAGCCCAAAATTCCGGAAATTTCGGTTAGAAATGAAACGGACCAGTTCAGTTCGGTCCGACTGGAATACTTGGGGACACCTTTGAAGGTGGTCCACTTTGACCGGTCCGGTCATTTCGGTCGGTCCGACCGAATTGTCCCTTTCCATTTTGACAAAATTGTTTTCCCTAGTACCGCTCTTTTGTATCCTCCTTACAAGGACAATAACCAGACGTGCGGTGGCTTGGGTCGGGTCTGTGCAAACGGAATGTACCGTTCCATTGGGCACTTGGGCACTTACCGAATTGTTGAATGAAAAGCACCCGAAATGTCTAATTTTGATAGCCCATTAACTTAACAAGTCCGTCAGGGGAATGGACCCAGTTTGGACCCTTCGAAGAGAAAGTTCCTTTCTTTTGTCTGACCTTCATTGGCTACAACGTCTCCTCAAACGGCAAGTTCTTCGCCAAGATCAAGATCAGACATCACACATCACACTTGATCTCCCCTAACAAAAAAGTCATATTTCTGGCTGATTTTCTTGTGCATGCCTCTTTCCTTAGCCTGTGAACACAGCCGTTTCTCCTTGCTTCTCACCTCTAAGGACCTTTCGCCACGTCCCTAGCGGCGAGGAGAAAGGAGAAACAGCTGTATTCGCAGGCTACTCCTTTCTGGGCCTTCCAATTCCTTTTGGACAACCTCTTTAACGTTTTTCAACCAAAATCACGTCGTCCTCGTAGTAAATCCCCTAAATTACGCAAACGTTCGTCGAGAGTTTGGATGCTGTAAGCGTATTGAGAAATTACATGATAGGTGGGGTAACCCGCCTAGTCGGGGTCGGATTTGTGATACATCATAATTGCGAGAAAATTCACTTTGGCAGTGGCTTTGCATCATTATTAAAGGTAACAATAGAAAGCCACAGCACTGAAGGATGCAACAAGAGCAGCAAGTGAGTGTAGAAGAGCATTAATCGCCAAAACGCGTGGTTTGCCAGCATTTTTCCCGTTTACGTGCTTAGGGAGCGGTCATTAACTATTGGGGGGGGAGGGTCGGTATTATTTCAAAGGTTAGAGCCCAAAAATGTTAGCCCCTCTCAGGTTAACAGCCCAAAAATCTTGGCCCCCTTTAAAATGTGAGCCCAAAAAATTGTAACCCTCCCCTGTGAAAAACTTTTGATTTTTTTACGAACGTTATTTTGAGACAATTATTTCACTGGAATAAGAAAAAAGTGTTACTATTTTAATACACTATTTACAAAACCCAATGGTTCACCAAGTAAAGGGAACCCGTACATTAAACAGCCCCGTTGTTACTCATTGAATTCCTGTTTTGTAGTCAATTTCAAGAGTGAACAAATTGTGCGTATTTAATAACGGATCAGCGAGAGCTGTCTCTATTCAAGAGAAGTCCGCAGCTCTTGCTCGACCCCTCCAGGTCCTGCAAGTTCGGCCATATCGTGTGGTGTGCAAAAGATTTTCAAAGTTATTTTCCTGCTGGACCGATTCGTCTTCCTCCTGGTCCTCATCAGAATCCTCACTGATGTCATCATCGCTATCATCCTCTCCGATTTCGTCCAAGACACCATCATCATTGCCATCATCAATGTCATCATCAACATCATCGTCACAATCGCTGTCATCGAGATTTTCGCTACCTTCAATTATCTTCTTAGCAATGTCTATGGTTATGAGGTCTATTTTTTCTTGCTTCAGTGCTCCTTTGGAATGCTTTAGCTTCCTTTCCATGACATACAGGTCTAAGATCTTAACTTTCAGTTTCTTTAGCGTTCCTTCTCGATACATTGCTTCCCAGTTGTAATCTGCAAAAGATTTTCGGTTCTCTTCCTGGTTCGCTTTCTTTCTGCTTTCTGTCCTCTTGTTTCTTTTCCTCTCTAGTTTCAGAAGATGGTCCAGATATTGCTTGACTAGCCTTTTCTCAACAACATATTTCCTGCTGAAGTTCTCTATGGCATCATCGTCATTCATTTTACCTGCATCAAAGGCAAAAAGTGTAACAATAAATACATGTTTTATAAGGTGAAATAATCAACATGACACGAGCAGGGGACAAAGAAAAACTGAATACCTGGTGGTATCACGATATTAAAAATGTGGATTGTACAAAAAGACGTTAATTCCTATTCTCACTTAGCAGAAACTTACCCTCAGCAAACAACTTTCTGAGCACTACTCTTGGCTGATAATCATCCACCTCTCTACCTTCGCTTGGCGTTTCCTCTAGAGAACAATAGTGTAGTCCTTCACGGTTGTAATCAGGAAAGGGCCTCCTGACACGAGCCACCTCTGATGTTACTGGCCTCGAGCCTTTACAAAACTCACACAACTGACCTACAAATAACCGAGGAAATAATACAGCTAATCTTCTATGATGCATTGATAAATGTACTGTGTGATCTATTGTTCCCAGAAATCATGGATATATTTCTTAAAAATACTCTTTAAAAATGTAACTGTTATGTTCAATCTAAGCTTTGCCAATTACCTATTGTTTTTTTGCAACTTCCTCTGGTGTATTCCATGTAGAGATCACCCACTTCATAGTGGTGACTGATGAAGCGTTCCAGTTTTCTGAAGTAGGCACGGCCAGGGACGTCATCCTTTTTACCTGCAGATGCTTTGATGAACTCATCCAGATAAACAGCATTCCAGAACATATGCTTCCCTAATAGAGAACACTCATTCTAAACAATGCGAAACATGTGAAGATAATTAAAAGGTGCGGAAGAACATACCTTCCTGCAAGTGACGGCGATGAAAGTAGCGACCAAGACAACCTAAGTAGCATCAATGACAGCAAAGACAGTGAAAGAAATAGCGATGACGGGGCCGATGATAGTGATGTAACTGAACAATGTCAGGAGGAGGATTCGGGAAGTGTCTTTACTGCAGTGGAAGCATACGACAGCAGCAGTGCAGAAGACATTGGCCCCTACTGGAACACAATGGAATGCACTCCTTACTATGAGCCCATTGAGTAGTCGTTTATACATCTTCACTGGACATTGGCAATATGTTTGATACCGTTACTGTTTAAGACTGATTGAGTTTTATAGCATACCAGAATTTGTTGATTTTTTAAAATAACAATAAATCAAGTGATGTTTATAAAATTGTTCTGGGTGTGAGCTTTTTCACTGTGCAATTAAGCTTTGAGTATACGATTCTATGAAGATTCTCTTGCCATGCTAAATTCAATAGCACAAAACCCATTTGTGCACATCGCCCAAAGTTTTAATAAAAGGCGCCCAGAAATTGTAACCCTCCCCTATAAAACGAGGGCCCATAAAATTATGGCCCACCCCAAATGGGCGCCCAAAAAAACACAGCCCTCCCCCAAAATTTACCAGCCCTCCCCCCTCAATAGTTAATGACCGCTCCCTTAGCGACCATTCAATAATCTTGAGAA